TTCCCTCTTTGCATAATTCCCCTCAGCATATGCACCAGCTGACTTGTTTTTTGGAAGTTTTTGCTATAAGGCGTGTGCACTCGCCGGCAAGACAGAGAGACAGAAAGACAGAAGTGAGAAATCGTCCCCCCAGGGGGGATAGCCATGCCACAATCCCTTCTCCTCCATTCTCCTCTTGGGATCTTGGGCACGCATGCACACGTGCCAACGTGATTTTAAGCCACAGGGTCCGGGACTCGGACTGTGGTCGACCACATGGGAGTACAGCAACATAGCCCTTACGCCAACTGTTGGTCCTGCAAAAGCTGATTTCCTCAACTACTAACAAAGGCCTTTGGGCCTGGCTGTGGTGGCACAGGCTGCTAAGATGCTGTGCTCTGCAGGCTGAGAGTTCACCAGAGATCCATTCTCGGTCCACCCCGAAGTCTGCATGCAGTGTCTGATCCTGTAATCCAGCAGTTCAGGAGGCTGAGGCAGGAGGATGGCGAGCTTGAGGCTGGCCTGGGCAGCATAGTGAGGCCCTGTCAAAAAAGGCCAGGTATGCTGATATGCACCTGGGGTCCCAACTAGGAGGCTCAGGAAGGGAGACTGTGACGCAGTGTCTTTTTTTTTTTTTTTTTTTTTTTTTTTTTTAATTTTTGCTATAGGGCCAGAGAGAGACAGAGTCACAGAGAAAGAGACAGAGAGAGAAAGCGAAAAATCACCCTCAGGGGGATAATTACACCACAGTCCCTTCTCCATTCTTCACTTGGGACCCTAAGCATGCACACACATGTGCTCAATGTGATTTTCAGGCCATGGAGATCTTGAACCATGGAGTTAGCCATGTGGGAGGGATCCACCCACCTTAACCTCCATGCCACCTGCTGGCCCACAAGATCCTGTCCTTTTCTTTTTTTTTTTGTCTTTATTTTTATTTTTTTTTTAAATTTTATTTATTTATTTATTTATTTATTTATTTATTTGCCATAGGGCGAATGTGCTTGCCAGAGAGGCAGGCAGAAGGAAAGTGAGAAATCACCACCACCACCCCCATCCCCCCAGGGAGGTGGCCATGCTGCAATATTTTCTCCTCCATTCTCCTGGCATTTTGGCCACACAGCCACGTGTGCCCAGCATGAGTTTCAAGCTGCTAGGTCCAGGACTCGAACTCTGGTCAACCATATGGGAGTCCAGTGCCTTAACCACCACACCACCTGCTGGCCCTGAGACCTTGTCTTTAAAAAAAAAAAAAAACAACAACGAAAGTCCCCCCTTGATGCCACATCCTGCTCCAGCTATCACTCCTCTTCCTGCTCCCCTCATAGCCATGCTCTGGAAAGCAGCTTCCTCCCCTCCGTTCCCATTGTGCTCTGGCCCATTCCAGGCTGGCTCCTTCCATTCGACTGCACCATGGAAACTGTCCCATGAATCTCATTTGCCAAGCTCAGTGGCCCCTTTCCATCCTCTCCCCTGGACCTATCAGCAGCGTCCAAGGTAGTGGCCACCCTTGCTCTCCTGTTACGGCCCCAGGCATGCCTGCGGGTGTAGGGAGTTTGGCTTCCCCTTCATCCGGTGCCTCAGGTCTCAGCCCTGAGTGCTCATCTCACCTCTCCACCGTGCTCATTGTCTGTGAGCTCATTTAGCTTCCTGACTCAAAAATCACCACATTATGTCATATGGTCTGGGTGGCACAGCAGTCATGCAACTGGACACCATGAGAAGATTCTGGGATTGCATCAAGGGTTGCAGGGGGACCAGCAGTTAGCGTAATGGCTATGTTGCTCCCATGTAGCTGACTGTGGTTCGAGTCCTGGACCCAGTGGCTTAAACTCACGCTAGGCGCATGTGCGTGCGTGCGTGCATGCTCAAGATCCCGAGAGGAGAACGGAGGAGAAGGGATTCTGGCTTTCTGTATTCTGTCTCTCTGTCTCTCTTTGTCTTTCTGGCGAGCACATGCGCCCTATAGCAAAAACCTTTCAAAAGAAAAAAAAAAAAAAGAGTTGCAGGCTAGGATCTGCACCCGTCTTCCTGATGTCCTTCCAGGATTTCATGCTGCTCCTGCCATTGGGCTGGCCCTCTTCTCCCTCTCCCCAGCGCCATCGCCCTCTCCAGCCCGCTCCTATCTCCTCTCCATGTTTTTCACCCTGTTGTCCATGTTCTCTGGCTGATGTCATTCTCTACCTCTCACTTAAGTCACTCCTGGGAGTCTTCATTCGGCGCTTCCCGCAATATTTATATGTACAGTGGGAACCAGTTTTGTAAATGTCAGTCACAAGAGGGGATTTCTTGGGCCGATCTTGATTTTTTTTAAAAAAAAAAAGACTTGAATTATTTTGCTTGCACTTTAATGCGCATTCTCAATGACATTTTTTTCCAACCCTGTTGTAGGAAGCTTTATGCCGAGCTGTGCCAGGGCATTGTGGACTTGGCCATATCCAGTGTCTTCCCACCCCCAGACACGGAGTCCCCACCCACCCTGCCGGCTGCGTTTGTCAAGCTGTGATGGAGGCCGGTGCTCAGAGCTGCCTCAGAAGAAGCACGGGGTCCTGCTTAGGGGGCGGTGGAATGACCGGATGGCTTATTACTAAGCTAGAACCAGGAGAGAGAGGCGACTTGCAAAGACGTGAAGGAGAACTGTGAGAGAGAGTGACTCCCAAGAGAAGAGTGGGTTGCTCAGGGCCTTTCATAGGTGGAGCCCTCCACCCACTGTGCAACCTTTTCAACACTGAAGCAAATGTCTCCCAGGGATGTGCAAAGTATTCTTCTAAGGGGAAAAAAACAGGGATTTGGTTATTTTATACCCTTGTCCTTTTCAAAGGTCGTCTTTGCTTCCGAAGGCAGCAATGTGAGCAGAACCTCTCCTCCTGGGGTGGCAGACAGCCACTGGCACCTTGTTGGGGCCCGTCCACCTGCCGCAGCCTTAGTGCCTTAGCTGTGTGCCCCGCTGTAGCCCCGCTGTCGGGAACATGGCTAGACCTTAGAGCATTTGGAGGTTACCTGCGTGTTGCTGCTCCTCTCCTCACGAGAGTTGGCCCCACCATACTCTGGACAAGCATGCACCAATGGTCCTTAGTTTTGTGCTGGGCGCTAGTTTCTTAGAGAGGGTGATTTGCCTCGTCACGCTCCTGATGGCATTGGTCCGTCGCCTGTCAGGATTCGTGTGGGTTGGGCACCAAAACAGCAAACACTGCTGCTCCCCGTCTGCTCTCTGCATGTTTTAGAATCAAAGTGGCAAGTCTGCCCGAACCCATAAGCATCAAATAAGCATGAGAGAGAAAAAAATATGATATCTTGCTTTACTTAATAGGTTGGGTGTGGGGGATCTTTGATGATTCTCAGTTTTTGTTTAAACCAGAATTCAAAATGCAGTTGTGCAAATTTCCCTTCTTTTTAACATTTGTAGAAACCTTTTCAGGGGGTCAGGAGAAAGTAGAATTCCACTCCCCACCCCCTGCACAGATGGCTCTGTCCCCAACACAGAGCTTCCTCCCTCTTTGCTCTAAGCACCTCCTGCAGAAGCTGGAGGGGCGGGTTCCAGTCCAGGAAGGGAACTGTGTCTGCTCACACCTGGAGGCAGCAGGAGAGACCTCTGAGTGAGTGAGTGCCCTGCCTCCTGGAGAAAATCTTCTAAAATTGGGAAGCAATGGTTTCAGAGCTCCCCACAGTGTCTTACAAGTCTCAACCAATGTGTCCGGTTAGATGTGGTTTCTACATATTGAGTCAACTAACACTTTGTAGGATTTCTAGAGGCCACATTGCTAGCGGCGGGAAGAGCCAGATGCTACTTACATTCAGCACGAGGTTCTTCCAGTGCCCTGGCAATGCCAGCAGACCCATTGAAAACCGCACACCCTCCACAGGCAGCATGCTCGTTCTTTGTGTGCAAGTGTCCCCCTTGACCCTTTCTACTTGGCACAAGAAAACCGTTCAGGTGAGACTCTTACAAAAGAGAAGAAAAAGCAAGGCCTCCTCAGATATGATGAGAAGAGGGAGCTGACCGTGCGTAAAGGGATAGTAATAAACACGATTTCCTGGATGCGGCAATGGGTGATAGGACGTGATAGTGCTATGCTGAGGTTAGTGGAGAAGGGCCCAAGTGTCCTGGCTGTTGTGGGAATTTGGAATTACAAACTAAGGTGGTTCCCTAGAATACAGGCAATTAACTTGTCATCTGGAGCAAAATATCACAGACCATGGTAACGCTCAGTCCCGGAGGCCTGCACAGCTGATGGATTCATGTTTGGGAGCTTCTGAGAAGGGAATGAGATATGCTCACCCATTTAGAAAGTGCAGGGGATAAAAAAAGGGAAAAAAAGAAAGTGCAGGGGATGAGTCTTCGGAGAGTATGAGGGGGCTGGTCACAGGGAACGCATGAAGGGGTCTGCAATGCTATCACCTGCCCATACACATTTGGAATTCTCCTTTGGACTCAGAGGACAGGGACATTCGAGAGTTTTCCAGCTCTTAAAATGACAGTCTAGATTGTTAAGCATTTAGATATTAGGAAGTCTATGAATTTTGACGGATTTTCTAAGAAACCTGAAGCAATAGCATATATGTAAGGGAAGAGAGACTTTAACAAAAGAAAAGTTTATGCTTCCTTCCTCGTGTGGTTTACTATAAGTATCTGTTTTATTTCCAATTGGGTGGAATGGTTGGCTGTTCCATGCCCTTCCATGACATCCTGGGCACAGATGGTCACGCCTGGCTCCCAGTCCGTCCTTGTATGTTTGGTCCATGTAAATGCTGTCAGCTGCTGGGGGAGGAGGCATTATGTATTAGGAGATGTTGATTCCATTCTTGGCTCTGTTGTTTGCTCAGCATCAGTTGAGCCCGTTAACCTCTCTGTGCCTTAGTTCCTTATCTCATGGGAGTGATGTTGCCTGATCTGGGGACTACCTCAAGGGCTTTAGTGAGGACAAATGAGAATAGGAAGACTCAAGAGCCTTTAGAACCGAGGTTCTCAATGCTGACTGCATGCTGGACTCACTCACAAAGCTCTTACAGTGCTGGTGCCCACACCGTCGCCTTCTGCCCACTCCCCAGCCAATTAGATAGCACCTCGGGCAGCAATACGCATGTCTGGAGATGTCTTACCCCACTGCTTGAGAAAGAAGGACAAACACATCATTACCTTGGAAGAATCACTGAAGGCTTAAAGCTTTTTTTAGAAAATGTTATTGGAAACAGAGGCATTTAGGAAAGACCAGATATTGCCATGTCTTCGTGTATGACAAATGTTGTCTAAGCAGATTCTCTATTTGCTTCTCATTGCAGCATTTGGAAACTTAAGTATGCTCTCAGTTACCTAACAGTTTATGAAGCCTCGACAATACACGTAAACCAACATGAATTTCTAAATATGTGACATATATGTTAATTAATTAATTATAGAGAGAGAAGCTCCTTCACTCATGCGGAAATTATATACGCCATGTTACCTGGAACATTGAAGTGCCTCCGTGTTTGTATGACAGTGGAGCGTGTGCTGGCGTATTCACTAGCTGACGTGATGTTTCACTAGCTCCTTGGGATGATTTTCACACACATGGAATATCTGGGAATGCTGGAAATGTCCCAGGAACAGCAGAACAGCAAATGTCAGTGAAGCTACAATGCGTATTTTCAGCAGTTGAGGTTGTATCAGGCGTGGAGATCCAGCCCTCTTGTGGGTGTGGGAGGGGCAGAGGAGAGCTCACCTAGCAAAAAGAGGACACCAGAGTGGGTCCCACGTAGCATATGGGTGCCATGGAGAAAATTCCGTGATACATACGTCTCTGAGCCTGGGCACACAATCTGTACCTAAGGGGAAATAACTTCAGAAATAAGGCAACTTTGTGAATGTTTAAAATGCCTGGAGCATTAAAGTAAAGTAATGATATCTTAGGCGTGTGTGTCCCCTTTTGTTCTCTCATCTTCCTGTGGGTATTGACTGGATATTTAAATCCACAATATTGTTACTGAGGTAGGCAGACCTCTGTGAAGGACCAAATAGTAAACCAGCTAGGGTTTGCAAAACTGCCTAGGGTCTCTGTTGCATATTCTTTGTTTTTCCAACTTCTGAAACATGCAAAAAAAAACTTTTCTAAGCTGATAGACCATACAAAAACAGACCAGATGTTTGCTGACCCAAGGATATTACCCAATACATAAACCAACAAATTGTCCTTCAAAACTGATAAGGGTGAAGGATCAGAACAATTTCAGCTGTCAGAATCTAGTCCACTGTTTCTCAGATGTCTCACATAATATCTGCATCTTGATGCAGAGCGTGAAGTGATACCCATGTTGTGAGGGAAAGTTATGTGAACTTCATATGTGGGGCAGAGGCAGAAGAACTTCTGAAAATAAGACTACTTCCACAGTTAGTCAGAAGGCCAAGAAGTCTTTTTTTTTTTTTTAAGAATTATTCTTATTATCATTATCATTATTTTAATTTGCTATAAGGCATGTGAGCTCACTAGAGAGTGAGATAGTAAGCCATCAGTTCTGGAACTTGAACTGTGATCGGCCATGTGGGAGTCCAGCACCCTAACCACCACACCACCTGCTACCCCCCCGAGAAGGCCAAGTCTTAACTAAACATTTCACTAATGACAGGATAAACCTCAAACACTGCAGACACTTAGTCTCATGGATGGAAAGGGCTTCATTTCTGTAAACTGTCATAATTTGTAACTTCTTTGTGTGATGGGGTTGAATGCTTTGGACTCTTTTCCATGTGTCCCTGGCCTGCCTCCTGTGGCTGCTTTGTCTTTCAGCATGCTTCTGGCACAGAGGAGAGTTCACACCAGAACCCTGACTTTAAACAAATTTCAGATGCCCATGACATATTCCTACCAGACTCAGCAGAGATTCTATAGGGTACAGGCAGATGTGGATCCAGCCAGGCAGCTTCTTAAGGGCCTGAGAATGAGCAAATCCAAGCCTTTGGAGAAGTTCTCTGAGGAGCTGACCCCATCTAGTGTCAGTAGCTGCCTCTGCTTTTTAAAGAACCTGAAGCTCTTCCAGGCTCCCAGAGGATCAGTGATACTTTAAAGATATTTCCCCCAGGGGCTAGCAGATGGTGTAGTGGTTATGTCACTGGACTCCCACATGAGACTTGACAATGGTTCAAGTCTCAGACCCAGTGGCTTGAAAATTGTCAAGCGCATGAGCTTATATGCCCAAGGTCCCAGGAAGAGAATGGAGGAGAAGGGATTGCAGCATGATCATTTCCCCTGGGGGTGATTTCTCACCTTCCTTCTCACTGTCTCTGTCTCCTCCCCATAAGAGCACATGCCTTATGGCAAAAACCTATAAAAGATATAGTCCCCCAAAGATCTTAAACGCAAAGGAGAATGAACCCGTGTCCCATGGGATACTTAGTGGCACTTGGAGATTGCTGCAAGTTAAACTTTTAAAAATGTTTTATTGGGGCCAGTAGGTGATATGGTGGTTAAAGTGCTGGACCAACCACAGTGTGAGTCCCAGACCTGGTGACTTGCTTTCTCATTTTCTCTCTGGTGAACACATGTGCCCTATAGCAAATTATAATAAAAATAATAAAATTAAATAATTCTTTTTAAAATGTTTATAATTTTATTTGACATATAATGGTTGTACATATTTGAGAGTACACTGTTGATCGTGAGAGGACATCAGTGGGAGTAGCAGAATAAGAAGCTCTAAAAATCCTTTCTTCCATAAAAGCAATAAGAACATCAGAAAAACTATCGGGAAATTAACCAAAGCCTGGCCACAGCCCAGGAAGCATTTATTAAAAAAAAAAAAAGAAAGAAAGAAAGAAAAGGAAAAAGAAAAGGTATCTCAGAACAGTGAGCTTTTTCTGACTTCCAATCCCTCTTCTCCAGCTCCACAGTAGCCTTGGGAACCAACAGCCCACAATCGTGAAATCCAGCAAGCTAGCAGCCATTGTAAGGAACGAAGTGGGACCGGAACTCCTCCGAGCCCCATTACCAGAGAATTGTCATTTTTTGACCTTTTGAGTAATTTCGTATATGTCTCAGCACCCAGGGCTTGTCTTTACTTAAATGACTCAGAGCTTGCTCAATGTGAGCAACCTTTTTTCTGGGTGCATTGGCCAAAAATAATCAGCAGCAATTGCTTAATATCCAATTCCTTGAGGTGGCTATAGCAGTTGAAACAAACAACAAACTGACCAAAAACCTTAGAAAGAAAATGGGGCGGGGGAAGGGCAGTAGATGGCTCCCACATAGTCGTAGTTGACCACGGTATGAGTCCCAGACCAGCAACTTAAACTCACCCTGGGCGTGTGTGCATGCATGTTCAAAGTCCCAAGAGGAGAACAGAGGAGAAGGGATTGTGGTGTGGTCATCTCCCTGGGGGTGATTTCTTGCTTTCTGTCTCTCTCTGTCTCTTCAGCGAGCAACATGCCCTATAGCAAAAATCTATCTCAGAAAGAAAGAAAGAAAAAAGAAAGGAAGGAAGGAGAAAGAAAAAATAGAAGGAAGGAAGGAAGGAAGGAAGGAAGGAAGGAAGGAAGGAAGGAAGGAAGGAAATGGGAATTAAGTGCCTCTAGGAGGTTTTTGAAAAGCTTTGACATATTTTGGGCCTGCCAGTGGCATGGGGGTTAAGGTGGCTGAATCCCATTTGGCTGAATGTGTAGTTCAGGTCCTGGACCTGGTGGCTTGGGAAACATGTTGGGTGCATGTGCATCAGTGCCCAAAAATCCCAAAGGGAGGGAGAGATAAAGGAGAAGGGATTTTGGTGTGGTCATTCCCTACGGAGGAGCTTTCTGTTCTCCTTCGTCTCTCTCTAGCAAGCACGGGTGTCCTCTACAAAAATAACAAAAAGCAAACCAAACCAAACCCAAAGAAAACCTGGGAGCTGAAAATAAATGAAAAGTTCACTACAGGAGTTCAATACTAGGTTTCAACTGGTAAAAGAAAGAATCAGTGAATTTGAATTCAATGCAGATGATCCAGTCAGAGGAATAGGGAGAAAAAAAAAAAAAGAAAAAATGTCAAATACCTGATTCCATCAAACATAATGTCATAATGGGAGTCCCAGACTAGAGGATAGAGAGGAAGGGATAAAGAAAAATAGTGGCCAAAAGTTTTCCGGCTTTGATGAAAAACATTAAAATGCATCCAATAATCTCAACAAAATGAGTATGACTGACTCGAAAAGATCCACACCGAGACACATCAGCCACTAAGAAAATAAATGCATGGTTAAAAAAAAAAAAAAAAAAAAAAACAAGGGAAGGGCTGACCCTCCAGCCCACAGTAAAGAACTGTGCAGAAGCTAGATCCCACATGGCTGCCTAGGGTTTGAATCTTGGCCCCAGAAGCAATACACTGGGCACGTATGTTGAGGTAGACAGAGAACTGGAGGAAATAGGATTGTGGCATGACCAGGCCCCACTGGAGGTTGCTTTCACTCTCACATGCACATACATATTTTTTTAATTTCCAGAGGGCCTTTTTCTTTTCTTTTCAAGTTGTTAGAAGCAGAGAGTGAGCAAACATTCCATCTCCTAATTGCGTGGTTACACCACAATCCTTCTTCTGCCGTTTATTCATTCTGTCAGGATTTGGGGCATGCATGGGCACACACCTGATGCTTCCCAAGGCACCAGGGCCAGAACTCAAACCACAGCTGGCCATGTGGGATCCTACTCCCAGTGCACAGTGGACAGGGCCAGCGCATCTCTCTCTGTCTCTCTTTTTCTCTCCTTCCTCCTTTTTTCTCTCATACATGCATGTGTGTCCTAGGTATTAAAATAATTTTTGAAGTACAATCGATACAATACACAATTTCAATAGGAGAAAAATAGAAACCATATCATTGTTTCAATATACACAGGGGAAAACACAAGTTTTTCGTGATAAAAACACTCAACAAACTAGGAATAGATGGGAACTTCCTCAGTGTGATAAAAGTCATCATTAGAAAAACCCACAGCCTACATCATAACTAATGAGGAAAGACTGAAAGCATTCTTCCTAATATCAGGCACAAAACAAGGATATCTATTCTCGCCCCTTCAACTCGGTACTATAAGTTCTAGACAGAGCAATTAGACAAAAGGAAGGAAGGCCAGAAGGAAGTGTGGCATGGAAAGGAAGAAGTTTAACTATTTTCTAATGACCAAATCTTAAATAGTCGTGCATCACTTAATGATGGGTATATTCTGAGAAATGCATCCTTAGGCAATTTGGTTGCTATGTAAGCATCATAGGGTGTACTTATCCAGACTTACATAATATATCCTACTACAAATCTCAGCTGTGCTATAGACTATTGCTCCTACACTGTAAACATGTACAACATGTTATGTACTGACTACAGTAGGTAGTTTTAACACATTGGCACTTAAGGATCTAAATATAGAAAAGATACAGTAGGGACCAGCAGTTAGCGTAATGGCTATGTCGCTGGACTCCCATGTAGTCGACCGTGGTTCGCGTCCTGGACCTGGTGGCTTAAAACACACTGGGCGCGTGTGCGTGTGTGCCCAAGATCCTGAGAGGAGAATAGAGGAGAAGGGATTGTGGTGTGACCATCCCCCCTGGGGGGTGATTTCTCGCTTTCTGTCTCTCTGTCTCTCTCTGTCTGGCAAGTGCATGCGCCCTATAGCAAAAACCTCTCCAAAAAAAAAAAAAAAAAAAAGAAAGAAAAGATACAGTAAAAATTCGGTCTAAAAGATTTTTTTTTAAATGGTACACTTGAGCACTTACCACGATTGTAGCTTGCGAGACTGGAAATTGCTCCAGGAGAGTGAGTGTGAGGACAGTACTGTCTACTACTGTAGTCTGCATAAACACTGTGTACCTAGGCTACACAAAAATGATAAAGTTTTTTTTTCTTTCCTCAAGAAATTAAACTTAGCTCACTGTAACTTTTATATTTCAT